AAAAAAAGAGCCTGGCCCATCCGGGAGTTGATCTTAGGACCGACAGTTTCGGCTTGGCTGAAGCCTTTCGGCTTGTCAGGGATCATCTGCCGAGCCGGTCCTTGGCTTTTGCCCTCCTGGATTCGTCAGGTATCGTATACTGCCAGATAGGCCCTATCGGATAGGGGATCTTCTACAGTCGGGTCAGATAAACCTGATACATATTAATTTTGTTTTCACATTGTTTATTTGAAATATATTGAAGATGCAGTAAAATATTTGGAAGTTTTCCATTGACTCTTAATATAATAATCTTTAACACTTCACATATTACAACATGCGATGCCTTTCACGGCCTCTCCCTGACAGTTTTTTCAATTCATACACATTGAAGTACATTGTAAATACATCAGAAATGGGCAAATTAAAATAAAATAAAAGTCACAATTTGCACCATTAAAAAGCAGAGAGGGAGAGGATATCAATAATTTATGATAAGCCTATATAACAGTTGAAAAATTATCACAGAAATTATCATCCAAACATTGGGTAAGATGTTAACAAAACAAATTCATTTGTTCAAAGGCATTCTCAATTGATAATTAACACAATTTACTTTAATAGATTGTATATAATCCATAACAATTTCAGGGGAAAAAAAAATAATTTCATTCAACAACTTTAAGATCTAATTCACCCCAAGACTTCCCTATCTTTATTTTTACAGGCAGTTTAACAGATAAATAAATAGCACTTTCCATTCCTGTCTTGAGTAGTTTGCAAAATTGATCAACAACAGCTTCAGGGACCTGGATGTGAAGTAGGGCAGAAACAAGAGGTTATTAAAAATACATGATTTCGCCTTCACATTGCAATATACATTCAATAGACTACACCTCACCTCATACATGAGCTCATCATGTAGATTTAAAACAAGTTGTGGAACAGTGAGACAATGGTTCTTCTTGTCCGTGTGTGACACACAGAATGATTTTAAGATTTCCTTTTCAACAGCAACCATTGCAGTCTTGGTGAGGTCAGCAGCAGATCCCTGCACTGTTGTGTTCACTGCCTGCCTCTCTGCATGAGCTGAACAGAAAAGCTAACGTGACTCCCACTACCTCTCAAACTTATAAAGACAAATGGCAGCATTTTAACAGGTACATGTAGACATAGATTAAAAGATGGAAATAAAATATACGGGAATAGAATGCCATACCTTTCACATGAAAGCTGGAACTTGTTATGCCTGGAAGATACCGGCGTCTATCCAGTAATGTTTTAACATACCCCATTTCACGGCACTGAGACACTGTCTTCTCCAAGAAACTATTTATGCCTAAAATAAAGAGACAAAAGTTACAGAATTTCCTCACCATAAAATAAAGTATGTTGTATTCCTGCATATATTTCAACTAAAATTAATACCAGGAAATGCATTATGAAATGACTCCATGAGTGATGTCGCCTCTGTTTCTTCTACACCGAGTTGATCTGCCAAAGCTCTAGACCCCATCCCATAAATGATGCCATAGCATAGCTGTTTGGCCTTCTGTCTCAGACCATCAGTCACCTATAAAATGTACCAACTGAGTAAATATTTACTTCAATTTACACAAAAATTCTAAGTTTATACATAATGTAATATTTATAGGTACCTTATCACACTGGATACCATTCCACGTGGCAGCAAGATTACAAAACACATCTTGACCACCGTTTAAAATGTTCTTCAGTTTAGGTTCTCCAGAAAGATGGGCTAAAAGTCGCAATTCGAGTTGTGAATAGTCTGCAGCAACCAGTAAAGTATCTGTGGAAGTATGAACAAAGGATAGTGATAGAAAACATTTTTAATTCTGATAAATGTTGTCTAAATTAGAAAAAGATTTGCATATCACCTGCTGAAGCAACAAAAGCAGCTCTCATGCAAATTTTCTCATTGGAATCGGGTGAAATTTCAAAATCCCTAGGGATACATTGAATATTTGGCTCATACATAGAAATGCGCCCAGTTGCAGTATGCATAATATAGCGTCCATACAAGCGTGTGCATGGCTCTGTTGGGAGCAAAGGGCATACAGTCTGAAATGGAAATCATAAACTCAGGAATCTTGAAGTAACGCCCTACCTATTAAAAACAGTACTGAATTGCATTCTAACTTATCGGATCAGATAAATTAGTTGACACTAAATTACTTACCTTGGAATGAATTGCACTTAGCTTTCTCCACAACAAAATCACATTTGGGAGCTGGTGCTCTGAAGTGAGTTTGGTCAGGGTTTCCTTGCTTGTATTCTTCTGTCTGCCTTTCAGAGATTGGCCTTGCCCCAGTTTTAGTTCTTGATACAGAACCTGAGGAATAGTTCAGTTACTAGTAGTACTAAAATGAATCAGGAGGATTTAGAATTGACAGAAGAAATGGTTACCCGTGCAGTATCTAGGGGTGACGTCAGAGAAAATGAGCGTCCTGCTAATTGATATGCTTTTCTTTCTAATGATGACATGTCCTCGAGGAGCTTCCCTTGAAGGTTCTGTAGCGTGGCTGAGCTAAAACCGATTCCAGCCAACTCCATTCCAGCAACACACACAATAACTGGCATCTCTACATCTGAAAAGTTTCCCGTTATGTTAATTCTAAATTGTCAGTGTAGCCTTATGTACCAAAATTAATATGTACTTGCCAAAAAAGCTTCTGAGGAGTTGTGTATCCTGAAGCTTCTGGTACTGGACACTCATAATATGGAAGCAAAGTATAGCTTCAACACTGGAACGCTGTCTTCCAGGTACAGTTTGCTCAATATCCAAAGCTGGACTGCCAAGGCCAAGTCGAACACACCCAGCATGTTCAGCTAAACCAATAGCCATATCCATATACTTCAAAACCTGCAGATAAATAGGTTTCTTTAATGAACTGCATGGGTACGAAGGTTGTAACAAGCAAAGAAATACAAAGCTAAAAGGTCACCATGGATTGAAACGTCTTCTCTTTCCCTTCTGGTTCTAGCAGCCAGTCAGCCACTTTTGGATCACAGAGTGAAAGGTTGAGTATTCGAATACCAATACATCTAGAATGTTTTTTAAAAAAGATTACAATTATAATATGTGTGTATACAGTGACTGTAACTGTTTGAACTGCATGGATTGTATTCTGCTCTAGAAAGCCCGAATTGAACCTCTTTTCTATTTGTCTTTTCTTACCTAAACAGCAGTTTAAAATGCTCCTTAACATCATAACAACAGACCCAAGGCATAGCAGCTTTCTCATTTTGACAAAGAATTTGCTTTAACAATTGCAGTCGATCGCGGAGACTAACAGCGCACTGTTCACTCTTGTCTTCTAAAGTTAAGTAGTATGCATCAGTGCCACCAAAACAAAATGAAACACCAACAAGAACACAGTTCCCAAATGAAAACTGTGATGTATTTTTATTGGATTTTGTTTCGTGTCTTGAAGACTTTTGAGTTTTGAGAATTTTGTTCCCAATTGCTTCAAATGTCTGATTACTTTCCCCTTGCTGACATGCTAAAGAAAAAGACCACAAGCTGGTGTTCAAAACCTCCTAAAAAACAAAACTTGTTAATCTACAAATACTTCAAAGACAGATTTGGTAAAAGATTGAATTATTACGTACCTTAGAAAATGTTTTGAATAGGACTCTGCTTCTACAAACGTCTACTATGTTGTATGTACTCCAATCCTCAACGGGGGTCGTAGTAGAAAATGGGTTTTGATGCTGAAGTTGATTGATTCCAACATCTGCTGGAAACAAGACTTCTCTTGTTTCATCTTCTTTTACATTGGCTTCAGTGAGGGTGAACTTCTATAATTAAAAATATAGTACACTATGTTGAGAACAAAAGATACATCTGTTTGATCCTCACATTCTCACCTGTCGACTAGCCAGCATTCTACGGGTAAGCGGGGGCCCAATAACTTGCAGCTTTTCACATTTTACCTCTTTCGCAGCAGATTGCTGGTCATTGTGAATATTTTCACTCACTGCTACTTCCTTAAGGGAAAAAGGGGAAGCTGCAGATTTTCTGAGACACAATGGCAGAGAATCATATTTTAAATACAATAACTTTTTCAATACATGGTAAAATTTTAGAAGCCAAAGCACAATAAATTTCCTTCAAAGGCTACAAAAATTTTCTGGTACTATACCTTAAGTCCTTGTGTTCAACAACTGTTGGAGGTGAAAAAACCACTTCATCATCAGATGATTCACTAAATTTCATCTTCTTCTCATGAGGGACTGGTGGGGAGTTTTCACCTTCAGAAAAAAGCAAAACATCACTTTTGCTATGGAAAGCAGTTTCAAACGCTGCCTCCAGAAATGAATCTGTTAATATTTCATCATTATCTCTATCTGAAGAGTTTTCAACTTCTTTCTTCCCTACAACAGCAGTTCTTTTGGTCAACACTCGACGACTAAGTCCCAGATGGAGATTATTGCTTCTGTTCATGACAGGGTTTCTTTTATTAGCTTGGGACTCATATTTACTTTGAATACTGGAGTTGAGTTCATTTTGAGCAGTCTTTTTACCAGTGCCAAGAAATTTGCGCCGCATTTCACTGCATTTTCTCATTTTCAATAAAGCTGATGCTTCCCTACTGGCTTCGCAATTACCTTGTGCAACCTGATTAGACTCATCAATAGCCGGATCTTTATTTGTTCTATTGGTGTGTGGTTCTTGAGCACAAGCAAGCGCACCTTCTTTGCCATCCAGTACATGAATAAGGCCAGAATTAATTTCAAAACTATCACCAAATAGATTTGGACTCTTTGAGCTGTCTTGTTGGGATGCTGTGCTGTTTTCGTTCCCCTCGCTTCCACTTCTGCTGCCATTTCTTGGTCTTAAAACCCTTTCACATGTGGGAGTTGTGGGTGAGCAAAAGAGATCTTCTGACTCTTGAACTTCCCCAACTTCATTAGTTACTGTCACAGATTCGATTTCATCTTGGGTGGAAGCAAACAGATCAAGTGACAACCTTTTAACAGGTGATAATTTTTTAGGGATATCCTTTTCAGTTTCTTGTGGTTTTTGAGCAAAATCTTCTTCTTCTGCACATAATTTGTTAAGTGCTGAAATGCTGATTCCCCAAGATTCAAGAGAGGCGTCAACAGCATTCTTACAAGGAGAAACAGGAGCTTTCTGAAGATCTTGACACTGAGTTATTGATGGTGTTTTTTCTGAATTGATCAGTTCAACATTATTTTCCAAGATATTTTGCATTGCAGAGTTTGGGAATGAACTCCCAAACAAATCCAAACTATCTTGTAAAACATTATTTGATGAGTTAGTCACAGAAATTGATCCAGGATTTGCCTTGTTTGATGGTGAAAGGGGAGTGGTCTCATTTTCACTGAGATTCGAGAAGTCACAGATATTGTTGTCCAACAGACATGACGGAGAGCTTGAGAGGCTTTCGAAGTTTTGTTGACTGCGCTCTCTTTCTTCTTCAACTTCAGCTAAATTCTGAAGCGTTACACTTTTGGACTCCGATACACTAGTACTCATGTTTTGTGCCCCCTTACTAGACTCTACTTCCAATTCAAAACTTCCATTGTCCTTCAAACTTTCGTTGTTATATGATTCCTCCTCATGTCCAATAAAGTTTATATTAGTAATATTTTTATGTTGAAAACTTGGATCAGTTTTGTCTGAGTCATGTAAAAGAGTCTTGTCCTCTACACTAGCCATGATTTCAACCTTATCAGTTTTGCTAGTTGAATTCTCTATTTGTACTGGCAAAACCTTTGGTAAATCATCTTTGCTGTTGACAGACATTATGTCAGCCATTATGAAAGCATTCTTTCCTGGAAGGATATCAGTAGTATTACTAGAAGAATTCTGTTGATTTTCGGATGTTTGGGTATTTCTAGGATTGATCAAGGAATTCTCTTGGTTTCTTTGATTCCAGTTGACTTCAGCAAGACCCAGTTCCGCCTAGAAGACAGACAAAAACCAAATTACTTCAGTTGAAAATGTGTCCGACATTAACAATATCAATGAAAAACCGAGCACTGATCCCTTACCTGAACAATTGATCTTGCCTCCTGTATCAGCAGCTCGGCAGCTTCTCGCTCGGACAGGCCCTGCCTGCCTGTCACCCAAATTCCTTTCAATTTCCGTCTGCGCTCCGATTCTGATGTTGTTTCACCATCTCTATCTTTTTCACTAAAGAGCAGGAAATAATCAATTTAAAAAATGATGGGAAAAGAAAGGTTGTTAAAGCATCAAATTTAACTCTTTTACCTTGAGAACGGTATGGTAGTTAGCAAAGCATTTTCAACAGCCAGCACATCTGCTGTAGTCAACTCAGACAAACTAGTAATTCCTGCATTGTGGAGAGCTCTAGCCCGTGGACCATTTAGAGAGGGTACCTTCAGAAGGTCCAGTAGTTCTCTGTGAGTTCCAAAATGAAGACGGTCTTGGAACTGATCAACTAGGAGCTCTACAGAGGACCATCCAAGTCTGTTGCAAAATGAAGTAACCATACCTGATGAGGGGAGAGTGGATTAATACTTGTAAGGTGTACAAGTGTTCACATTTTCTCATGTAGTTTTCTGAATATGTTAAGTTTCATTTCATACCTGCATAAGTGGCTGCTGATTGTTGCAGGCTTTGAAGCATTCCTCGTGAGCAATTGAATTTCACAGCCACTTTATTGAGGGGAACTTCATTCACTAAATCATGCAAGGCAAGAGCAGTGTAGAATCTTCTGTGAACCATTAGCTTCTGACGCTGAAAATAAGGCAAATAAAATTTAATTAAAACAAAGGTTAATGCTTCTCAAAACTTTCCCACAACTGAAAATTACTGCCATATACTGTATCACTCCCACTGATGGAGCAAGCTCTTGGAGGATGTCTTTGTTGACAATTTAAAGAAAGGCAATTTTTTTATTTTTTTTAATCTACTAATAAACAGATTGCAAATTATTACCTGCTTTTCCAGTTTCAAGTTGACTGTACCTCGCATGGCTCTCACTATAAACCGGTCCTCAACACCAACCAGCTCACCAACACGTCTCAAATCAGGAGTGAGTTGTTCCCATAAGGCTAGAACATGCATCCAATCTATGTTGCCCCACTGATCAGCCACATTAAGAGGTGTGACCTAATAAAGAAAGCATGTTAATTACAGAATTAATCACATTAAAAAGCCCAAATCGACCTCAGCGTTGGGACATGTACTTGGTACACAAGGTGCAGTTCATTTTCCAAAACAAAGCACTGTCTTGCTCTTTGGAGTTCTTGAAATAAGCGGAGTCCTTCATCAGGATGTATTGATGCTGAGAGACAAGCTTGCCCTAATGGGGTAGGTGTATAGCATAAAATTCCTTCATCATCAACCTATAAAACAAAAATTTGGTATAAACTCCAGTTTTAGAAGCATATACCACACCTATCCTTGAGTCCAAAAATTGCAGAATCAGTCACCTGCAGTCTAATTAGCTCATTTTCCTTGAGAAAGGTAATACAAGCAGAAACTGGGTCCACAATATTCTCAGATTCTGCTCTACTCGAGGCAAGGAGGGTACAATTTGTGTAGAGTTCCAAATCTGCTGGTGTAGTGGCAACTTTACTTGCTATCACCTTCAAACCAAGAGAGTAATAATTTTTAAATGCATCAATTACAACAGAGGTGTTACAAATACCTATGATAAAGTTGAGATAAGAGATATAAACACCTCTAAAACTGCTCGCTTCAAGCTAGCAGAAAGATCACCATGACCCAGGCAACTCTCAATTGGTTTCAAACTCGAGCAAACTAAGCTTGAAACTATTCGTTGTTCAGTTTTCTGACAAATTATAATACTTTCCCCTGAAACAATACCAGGTTAGTTTACTTACAAAGTCTACTTTATGAAAAAGCACTGGGAACAATTGAGCAATTTTGTTATCATAAGTCATACTCCTTACCGGCCGAATCAACTCCCATTCGTCCAGCACGTCCTACCATTTGGCGGTATGAAAGAATGTCGATTGGTCGTCCCTGAAAGACTGGTGATCTGATGATTACTCTTCGAGCTGGTAAGTTAACTCCAGATGAAAGTGTCGTTGTTGCAACGAGTACCCTAAGAGTTCCATTTTTAAAGCAGCCTTCCACAATATCTCTCTCATCCATACTAAGGCCTGTGAAACAAATACTATATAATTCATGTCATGATAGGTAGGGGTAAATAGAACTCAATGTAACAGGTAAATCACTTTAAAAAAGGATAGTAAAAAAAAACAAAAAAACAACATACCAGCATGATGATATGCAACACCAAACGAAACTACTCTCCCTAGGGAAGAATCTAGCCCCACGGGACAGTTTCGAAGTTGCTCCAAGCATTCTGCAATTTTGTCAGCGTTCAACTGTTGTCGTAATTTGAAGGGCAGGCTCTCTGTAGCATTAACATCTCTACCAAGACCTGTTTCAAAATATAGATTGTTAGCATGAATGCTTTGATGGTGGTCAAGGCAGAGATGGATAAATATGAACACCTTATTTTAAAAAATTAAAAAAGCGAGCATACCAATGGTTCTAAATTCACAAGCAACTGTTTGAGCAAGTGACTCACACCAAGCTTTAGTGGGGCAGAATATGAGAACGGAATGCCCATTGGCTATAGTTTCGAGGCACAAGTACACTATGTCTTCAGTGTCATTCTAAGCAGAAAATAAAGCAGTGAATATTATTTTAA